GGATAAGTTATCTAGTGGAAGTTATCGGAAGAATGGACGTTATTCTATTAGATACTAGTTTTTGCCCCGTGCAATGCACGAATTGTATTACTTTGAAAATAATGTTAACGTTTTGAATGTTAAGAATTGATAGGAGATTGTATTAAAAAAAATTTAATAAACACATTTATATAAAAGAAATAATGTTTCGTAAAGATGCAATGGTTAATCCAAATTTGAACAAAGAGTAGTAATTTACAAGATAGTATACAATAATTTACTCAAAAATGATAATTTCGTCAGGTTTCTTTTTTTCTCAATTGACATAGAAATTAAGCAAAAGCTCCTTGCAATTGAAATAAAAATACAGAACGAGGTAGCAATAATTAGACAAAGAAAAAAAATCAATCAGACGGAATTGGTAGCACTACTGAGATTCAAAGTGGCATTACAAAAGGAATAAGGAGAAATGCTTATTAATATTTTAAAGATTTATAAAATGCATTTTAGAATATTGCATAAAAGTATTACTAGAGCCTTCTGTTTTTGTTCATATATATTGTTATATTCGAGCGTCATAATGACAAATTTATGGACCAGCATGACAATGCTGTTAATAGAGCATATATAGTACACATGTAATAAAAAACAGAAATGCCCATAATATATGCCAGAAAAATAGGTCGTCAAAACTTGCTCAAAAGCATCAAGATAATGTAGATAACGCTTTCTCAAAACTCTCACAAATAGGGTAGTGTAGATAGTGTTGATTGTTTGGTTAAAAGTTAGAAGGTCACAATGCATAAGCTTCTTTCAAATTCACATCAACAACAACTAAGCTTACTTTTAAAATCAAATTAAATGCAATATGTACACAATAGAATAACATAAATACTCTTAAAGCGCATCCACTATCAAAGAACTACCTGGCACTTTAAATTATCGAAAACATGAACTAATGTAACAGATAAATGTCCATTGGAAAAAAAACTAAAAAACATAACATCTAAAATATAGAACGGTCTAATAGATTCACCAACCTCTTTGAGAAATTCTTCATGCCAATCGTCCAGGGTAACGAAGGACCTCATTACATTAACATCGTAAACCAAAACACAACAATCTGCTCCTTTATAAAATGTGACCCCGAGACTTTGAAATTTCTTCTATCCAATAGTGTCCCATATCAAATTAAATGCAATATGTACACAATGGAATAACATAAATACTCTTTAAAGCATAACCACCATCAAAGAACTACCTTGCACTTTAAATTATCAAAATCATGAACTAATGCAACAGATAAATGTCCATTGGTAAAAACCTAAAAACCCGTAACATCCAAAATATAGAACAGTCTAATAGAGTCACCAACCTCTTTGAGAAATTCTTCATGCCAATTGTCTAGGGTAACTTTTCATTCGTACACTTAAATTAATAATGACAGTATAGCATCATTGTGAATGAATGAAATACATAGCATATGAAGAAGAGCCACTCTTAACCTGGATTCATGTACACTAATCAAACTATTGCATACACATCACTTTGATGTAGTTCAAGATGGTGACATGGATATCATTAGTTATTCCCTCATAAAATCATTGTGTAGCATCACTTACCAAAAAATGAAGAAAAAGAAGTTGTAGGTGAATTGACCTAAATTTTTTATCAAACGATTTACTTTGGATTGTAGCCATATCAAAAACAACGCGTAATCATTTTTACGCAAAGGAAAAGAAAAGCAAAGAACAAATTCTACACAAACAAGTCTCTAAGGTTAAGTATGACAAAAATCAGGCAGCTGTCTTTATTAACTGGATAACAAAATGGTTCCATAAGCTCAGGAAAATACCATATATGTTGTTCGCCATTGCTGCAAAAGCTGAAAGTAACATATCATAGTAGTCTCTCACGCCATGCATGTCCTGACAAAATAAAAATTAAAGATAATATGATTAGCATCTCGGCAGACATTTGGGAGTGATGGTAGCACATTTAATTGCTAGATTGTACCTACATTTTCAACATACAAAATTACTGTCAACTGAGAAGAAGAACGAATACATATGTACGAACATTATGATAGAAAACTTGAGAATATAAATGTTGGAAATTTTTTTTCTCTATTGCAAATATTATGAAGGAAATCAAAAAATAAGGACATCAAAGTCCTATTATTAAAAGTTCAATATTTATTCAAAATCGAGAACAGGGGATGTCATACTTAAAAGTAGCTTATGCACTTTGAACGGTTACATTGTCATTGGTAGCATCCTGGTGGGGAAGGCTAAGGTCATGTAGCACTTATATTCAACTCCACAAAAGGCAAGAAGAGCTGCAGCATTTCATCAAAACACACTCAACCAATGAGACAGTTGGTCACACATATAAATATTATTGAATTTATATGAACTCAATTTCTACAGCTAAGAATGCTGCGTTTTTCACTGGTATATTATTTTGTCAAAGGCAATTACAATGGAGAGAGTTCAATCCATTTATACAGAAAATGAGCAATAAGAAAGTCACACCTGGCAAACTAATTAACTAACTAAAATAAAGGTAAAAACACGTGTGAAGAAAGAGGGAAAGATAAATTCTTCATCCCCCCCTCAAGCTGGAACAAGGTGAAGATCCTTGAGACCAAGCTTGCTAGTAAGAAGATGAAATTGAGGAGGTGGAAGAGCCTTAGTGAAAACATTTGCGAGTTGATGAGAAGAGGAGACAAATTGAGGAAGAACAAAACCTTCTTTGAACTTGTCCCGGACAATGTGGCAATCAATTTCGAGATGTTTGGTATGCTCGTGAAAAAGGGGATTTGCTGTAATATGAAGGGCAGACTCATTGTCACACCATAACGGAATCGGCAGAGGTAGGCTGAACTGAAAATCTGCAAGAACATAGCAGATCCAGCGAAGCTCACAAACTGTGGCTGCCAAGCTACGATATTCAGCCTCTGCTGTGGACCTGGACACAGTGGTTTGTTTCTTCGTCTTCCAAGAGATCAGAGTAATGCCCAAGAAGATGCAAAATCCAGTAAGAGATCTTCTAGTATCAACATAAGAGGCCCAATCTGCATCAGAGTAGGCAGTTAAAGAAAGGTCCTGCTGAGCTGGAAAGAACAAACCAGTCGAAGGACAACCCTTCAAATACTTCAGTAGGTGCAATGCTGTATCCCAATGGACCCGACAAGGTTTGTTGACAAATTGGCTCAATTGTTGTATCCCGTACGTAAGATTCGGCCGTGTTAAATTCAGATATAGAAGTCTGCAATCAACCTTCGATACTGTGCTGGATCAGGAAAGAGAGCACCATCATTTTGGACAACTTCGTACCTTTAGGAATTGGAACTCGAACAGGTTTTGCACCAACTAGACCTGCATCGGCAATAATGTCCAGAATGTATTTTCGTTGATTAACATACATTCCATCCTTACCCCGAGCAATTTCAAGCCCCAAAAAGAACTTTGCATAACCCAAATCCTTAATGGTGAATTTGGAATGCAAAAATTGTTTAAATGAGATTATGTCTGACTCATGAGTTCCGGTGATGAGTATATCATCCACATATATCAAAAGATAAACACTGTGATCAAAAGATTGATGAATGAAGAGGCAATAGTCATCTGTGATTGAGTGAAACCGTAATCAGTGAGCTTATGGGTGAGTTCAATGTTCCATTGACGTAAAGCCTATTTCAAACCATACAGACTTCTTTTCAACTTACAAACCTGCCCCTTCAAAGCCTGTATGTATCCAGCTGGTGGAGCCATGTATATTTCTTCATCAAGATATCCATGCAAAACGCATTATTAATGTCCAGTTGGTAAATGGGCCAAGATTTTGCTGAAGCAACCGCAAGAAAAATCCTCACAGTCACTAACTTGGCCACAGGGGAAAAACTTTCAGAAAAATCCACTCCCTCCATTTGATCATAACCCTTTGCGACCAACCGTGCCTTGAACCTGTCAATAGTCCCATCCGGATTCAGCTTGACTTTATAAACCCATTTAGACCCAATGGCCTTCTTCCCAGCCGGTAGGGAAGTCAATTCCCAAGTATTATTGTCCTCCAATGCTTTCAACTCACTATTCATGGCTTGCACCCAATGTTGATCTTTACGTGCTTGATGATAAGTATGGGGCTCCTGAACACTTGATACATTGGCCAGAAAAGTAATATATGCATGATGTAAACAAGGTGAAATAGAGTATGGAAATGTGATGGGAGTATATTTTGAACATAGCGTGGGAATTTCAAGGCTTGCTTGGACAGTAGCAATTGGAATAACTGATTTTTCAGTTGCATTGGTGATATAATCTTCCAACCAAGTTGGCTTCACTCTAAGTCTGCTGCTATGTCGAGGTTCAGGCACATTAATTGACTCAGTACCAGAAGGATCAAGAAAAGGAACTCGTATAAAAGGCACAAGAGGAAGATCAGAATTGGAAGAATGTGGTGAATTATGAACAGAAATAGGAGTAGTTATTTGTTCTTGAAGAGAATCAGAATTAGTATGATCAGTATTAGTGGAACTATGAGAAGACACATAAGGGTCTATAGAGAAATCATCTAAAGGAGATCCTACAGGTAAAGGTGTGGAAATGACTGGCTGATTTTTAGACGTAAAAGTAAAGATGCTTTCATAAAAA